CATACAAATCTCCCTGCCCAGCCAGCACCCCTGGGGCAGAGAGTCAGGGAAGTTGGTTCTGGTCTTTTCTGGCCTGATGAGCTGGCTGAAGCTGGAAGAAGCCCACTGTGTGTGGGAGGGATTTGAAAGGAGAAGCCAAGCATTTCATGTAGGTGTTCTATCTTGAATTCAGAATGTCTATACCATTCTGTCTACTTCTGTTTTTGTTCTTAGTGATGATTATATAGTGACACAGTTCACTGCTGCCATAAATGAGTTTTTTCTCCCCACAGCCTGTGGTAAGCCATGGTGTAGTGAACAGGACTAGGTTCCATTTCTCTTTCTGATTCTGTTCAAAAGTGTAAGTCTGTATTTGTGAGAAATCTTGGCAAACAAAACAAAACAAAACAAAAAAAGTTATCTGTAGCTTCGGCATCATGAGAAAGTGACTTAAATTCTCTTAGTGCTCCCATTTTCCATATTTTTTTTTTTTTTTGGAAAATGATGCGTATACTACTTGCTTCCCAGTGTTATGAACTGCAAATAGTATGGGATTTATGGAAGTGGTTTGTGGAGATGGAGATCTCTTAGGTGACAATGACAATGAGGCTGAGAGAATGCCTCTCACCCAGACACCTGGTGGTGTGCACGGGGCAGGTGATTCGGTAACAAACAGGCTTGAATTACAGTCTCGACTTTGCCTGTCATTTGGCAAGTTATTAAACCCCTGTAAGTCTTTTCAATTTGTAAAATGTAAAATTGAAATAATAAACATGAACCTCCTGACACAGGATAAGCAATTAATAAGGGGAGCTATTATTATTTTTATTATCAATTATTGAATTATGATACAGTTAAGAGCTTCAGAATATCAGATCTTATTTTATTTTCTAAAATGCACATACTAATTCACTTAGAATTCCAGGAAAAGACCAGTATGAAAGTGGGCTGTCCTCAGATGCCAGATACCCTGCTCTTCTATGCTAAAGGGCAGAGGCTAATGCTGGAAGTATAGCCTCGTACATATCACACCTAGGAAATCTGGACACCTTTCCTCTCTAAGTCCCTACCTTCTGGGACTGCAGGACTTCTGCTAGACCTTTGGCATCACCAAACTTACATTTGCATTCTAAGACCTTCTAAGCAGGATATGATTATAGAGAAACAATTCCTAATACTTTTTAGAAGATCTCATTTTAAGATAAAAATTTTTTCAAGAAGTTCTACTGGGCTGGGGATGTAGCTCAATGGTGCAATGCCTGCCTGGCAAGCACGAGGCCCTGAGTTCAATTCCTGTTACCAAAAAAGAAAAAAGAAAAAAATAATAATAGTTCTACTTTAAGTAGCCATTGTTGGACAAAATACCTGATAAAAATTCAACCACAAGGGCCAGAGATTTAGCTCAGTGGCGCCACACCTGCCTCACAAGTGCAAGGTCCTGAGTTCGACCCCCGGTACTGCAAAAAAAAAAAAAAAAAAATCAACCAAAGTAAAAAATTCAAGGATCCTCTCTTTTAAAAAAATTTTAAAATAGGTATTACAAGAACTTGATACAAAATTCACAAGGTACAAAAAGAATACCATGAAAGTATTCTTGCATCCCATTCTTCAGTCACCCTCTGCCCTTCTCCAGAGCCAACTATTGTCTCAATTTCTGTTCCATCCTTTCAAAGGTTATGTATGTCCTACAAACATTTACATAATAAATTTTTCCTCCTTACTGGGGATAATTTTTTTCTCCTTACAGTGCCTCCTGCATGCTAGGTAAGTGTTCTGCCACTGAGCTCCATCCCCTGCCCTATATATTTATCTTTTACAATAAGACAAAAATGGTAGAATGTCTTACCATTCTTCTTCACTTTTTAAAAATTTAACAATGTTTTGGTATGTTTTTAAATGGATATACTTTTTAAAAGAGTGCATTTTGTTTTATTTTATGCTGCTGAGAATTAAACACAGGGGTTTGTATATGCTAGGGAAGCAGTATTCCACTGAACTATATCCTCAGCCATCCTTTTTTTTTTTCTTTTCTTTCTTTCTTTCTTTTTTTTGGCGGGGAGGGGGGTGGTGCTGGGCATTGAACCTAGGGCCTACACACTGAGCTATACCCCAGCCCATTTTTAAATTTCATTTTTAAAATTTTGAGACAGGGTCTCACTAAGTTACTAAGTTGCTGAGGCTGGGCTCAAACTTGTGATTCTCTTGCATCAGCCTCCTAGAGTGCTGTGATTACAGGCCTGCAGTACCATGTCTACCTTCTGTATTTGTGTTTTTGTTTGTTTTTTTGAGACAGGGCCTCGCTATGTAGTTTAGGGTGGCCATGAATTCAGTGTGTAGCCCAGGCTGGTCTCAAACTCATAATAATCTTCCTGCCTCAGTCTCCCAAGTTCTTGCATTTTTTAATATAAAGAGAATCTTCTGTCTCACTTAGACATTCTTAGCTCTTTGATTGGGAATCACTGACATAAGTTAATTATCAATAACACTCAACATTAATTCTGGCCCTTACTTTGTGCCAGGTATTGTTCTAAGCCTGGTATACAAGACCCATAATCTACATTCTTCTAGTTTCAGTTTAAATATTATCTCCAAAGAAGTCCTGCTTTATCTATCCCTATCTATCCCTTTATCTCTTTATCTATCCTCTATCTATCCCTTTTTCCCTTGCTATTATTTTCTATCATTTCATCCTGTTGATTTCCTTTGGAATACTCATCACTATGAGCAATTAGTTACCTATTTGCCTGCTTGTTTACTCCTGCCTTCCCAACACAAGTAGTAGCTTTGAGAGCAGGGACAGAGTCCCTTAGGCTCACTGCAGTACACCAGGAAAAGTTCAGTGCCTTGGTACAGAGGAATCATGGGTTGAGTATTTATTGACAAGTACATAATGAGCAAAAATATCTAGCTTTCTGAGATATACTCTATTATTTTCTCCATTATTCTGGTGAGGAAACTAAGGTCTGGAGAGTGAAGACTCACCCCAAAGTTACTGAGTGACAAAATTGGTTGAACACCCAGCCCTGATTGACTGCAGAGCACAGATTCATCACTTTTCTGCTCCCAGAAACAGAATACTGAGTACAGTCATGGCTGTGTGTGAATATAAGTCCCCTTTTCTGACTGGGACTTTCTTTTCCATTGAGATAAGAGGGTAGAGTTAGCCATCCTCCTTATAGTAATGTTTTATATTTTGTGAGATCTGTGATCTATGAAAATGAAAGTGGGGTTCAATGAAAAGACCAACAAATTTGGCTTGGTGACTGATCTACATTTCTTTTCTCCATTTTCTATTTCCTTCACTGAAGGCTTGCTGGTCCTTGTTCTATGCCAGACATTGTGTTGGATGTAATTGGGATCCAAAGACTTATAGAACATAGGTCATAGTTCTAATCATAGAATATTAAGATGCCTTTCTGATGGGAGATTTGGGTGCATTAACAGCTGTTTGAAGTACTGGATGAAACATTATTCTGGTGGTGACAAGATTGGAGGTGATCAGTGATAAGGCAAAAAGTATTGCATGAGTCAGTGCCACACTAGTATTAAGTGTGAGGCCCACAGTAACAGAGAGGAGGAAGGGATTAATCCCATCCCATACATGCATGATGATGGAAGTGGTGGTGTCTGTGCAAGAGGTGGGAGATCAGATATGATGCTGAGCTAGGTCTTAGAGAAAGAATAGTTTTCCAGGTAACAAGGTGGAAGTGAGGCTTCCTAGACATGAGTTATCACAAACAGAAGCACTCAAAGAAGCAGCACAATGAGGTGAAGAATGCCAGGATAGAGGGTTGGCTCTCAAGATAGAGAACTGGCTGAATAAATAGAAGAAGCCTGTGAAGAGCCTTACTGAAGAGTCTGGACTTCACTCATGACAAGTGTGGCCGGAAACATCACTCTGGTGTGACAGAATTGGAGGTGGTCAGTGATAAGGCAAAAAGTGTGGTCAGGAGGCTTTGCAGTTGTTGAGGTGACAGATGATGGGGACTTAGATTTTAGATATTTGCAGCAGAGTTGGAGAGGAAGTAGATAAATTATAGATTTTTTAGAAGGTAGAGCCAAAGGACTTGGTGATTGATTGGATAAGGGACGATAAGAGAGTAGACTAAGTGACTTACTGAAAAGGATTAGGTGGCCAAGTATAAAATGATGCCATTAGTAATTATAGGGAAATTAGAGTCAGGTGTGAGAAATAATTTTGTTGGTTTTGGATATGTAGAGTTTGTGTCTTACACATCTAGGAGGAAAGTCTGCCTTCCTCTTTCCTTTCCAGAGTAACAGTCCTAGCCTAAGTCAGACGTCCTTGGGCCAGTTTCCTGCAGGCCCTAGTAAGGGATAAAATTCTCAAAGACCTCACTGGCATTTCTCAGCTCCATCTCCTTCGAGCATAATAACTGAGTATTAAACTGGGTATTAAAAACTCCCTGAGGAGTTGAAGGAGGCCAGGGCAATGGGGAAAAAAATAAGAATCAAGATATATTATGTAAAGGTACAAATCTCCATTGTTGAATGTCATATTGTATACCTAAAATGTACCAATAAAATTAATTTTTAAAAAAACTCCCTGGATCTCCATTGATAGAAGAATGGATTATGGATATACTGTATATTTTTAAAAATTGGACAATGGCTCCAGTGGAATAAACTTCTGGCTCTTGTAAGCATCAGATTTTTATTTAAAAAAAAACAAACACATTTCTATCCAGCAGTCTCCTGACCATTTTTGGCTCTCAAGTGTCCTCTCTTCTCCCTTTGAGTTGATTTTTAAAAGAGAATGGGGTTGCACAGCATGCAGCCTGGTTACCCCTGACTACTGGAGAAAGCCTGGAGTTTTAAGGACTGGATCCTTTTCCAACCTCCACCTCTGATCAAGTGACCTCAAGGGTGCCACAAGACTCTTCGTAGCTCTAAACCTTTACAAAACGACAAGGCTGGGATCCTCCCCCACCTCAACTTGAATATCCAGCACTCACCAGGCGGTGGCACGGCCGAGCACGTGGCTCCTCTAGGGGCCCGTTTTGTTTAGGGTCCTCCTAGGGAAGGGGACAGCCGAGGAGGCCGAGAGGCTGGCGCGCCATCCTGGTCGTGGCCACCTCCCTGGTTCCTACCGCCAAGGGCCAAAGGCAGAGGAACGCCCTGTGTCCCACTCCCACGTTCGTAAGATGCTGTCAGAAGCCGCTCTCTCTTCTCCGCCCTCTCCTCACGCACTACCCCCACTGTCATGCCAATGAATCCCAAGAGCAAAGGGTGGCACGATTCCTCCCTCACGCCCCTGCAGTCTTGAAGGCGAGCACTAAAGCAGCACAGCCCCAAGCTTCCCCTGCAGAAGCCGCGCTCCACTTGCTCCGGGGGCAGAGGGGGCGCGACAGAGCCAGTGGGCGGGCGTCCCATCCTCCGCATCCTCCTCCAAGTGCAGGCGCGCGGGGAGGGAGCGCTGCGCTGCGCCGCGCTGCGCATCGCGGCCCGCTGGCTGCCTGCCCCCTGCCCGAGCTGGGCCACCTCCCCGGGCCGCCGGTGGAGGGCTATACGAGGCGCTAACGTAACGCTGTTTCCGGTTTTCCAGCGGGCTCTGTTTCCCCTCCCAAGGCGGCGGCGGCGGCGGAGCGGCGGAGCCCCCCAAATGGCCTGGCCAGATGCGGCAGGTTTGCTGCTCAGCGCTGCCGCCGCCGCCGCCACTGGAGAAGGCTCCGTGCAGCAGCCACAGCGACAGCAGCAACAGAAGCAGCAGCAGCGAGACGACCAGCAGCAGCGGCGAGAGCGGCAGCAGCGGCAGCAGGATCAGGAGCAGCAACAGCATCTCCTGTCCCGCTGCGCCCCCAGAGCCGCAGCCGCAGCCCCGCAGCCCCGCAGCCCCGAGAGCCGCCGCCCGCCCGCGAGCCACAGCCGCCGGCGGCATGAGGCGCGACCCGGCCCCCGGCTTCTCCATGCTGCTCTTCGGTGTGTCGCTCGCCTGCTACTCGCCCAGCCTCAAGTCTGTGCAGGACCAGGCGTACAAGGCACCCGTGGTGGTGGAGGGCAAGGTCCAGGGGCTGGCTCCGGCCAGCGGTGCCAGCTCCAACAGCACCCGCGAGCCACCCGCCTCGGGTCGAGTGGCGCTGGTGAAGGTGCTGGACAAGTGGCCGCTCCGGAGCGGGGGGCTGCAGCGCGAGCAGGTGATCAGCGTGGGCTCCTGCGCGCCACTAGAAAGGAACCAGCGCTACATCTTCTTCCTGGAGCCCACGGAGCAGCCCTTAGTCTTTAAGACGGCCTTTGCCCCTCTCGACACCAACAGCAAAAACCTCAAGAAGGAGGTGGGCAAGATCCTATGCACTGACTGCGGTGAGTCGCCCCCTCCCTCTGCCAGAGGAAGGGGGAGGGGGTGAGGTGGAGGAAAATGGGGGTGGGGCGGGGAGGTGCGGCAGGTGCCCAGGCCTGGCAGCGTCCCGCCGCTGGGGCGGGGGGGCGCCCCCAAGCAGGGCGGCTTGCACGGATGGTGAGGGGTTGGGGTTGGAGAGGAGGGTCAAGCGCAAAGTGTGCCAGGGACTGGGGGGGGGCGCGGGGGAGGCGCCGGCCTGTGCCAACAGGGATCTGCGGCTGATGTATGGCATGTGGGGCTGGAAAGCTGCCATCATAGCCCAGTAGCGGAAGGAAAAACGGAGAGGTCCGGGCGGTGCCGTCCTGAGGCTCAGTGAGTCAGGAGTGACCCTCAGAGGCCTTGTGCGCTCTGTTCCCAAGGGCCTCCTTGCCCAGGCTGGCAGGGTCTGCAGGAGCAGCTGGGCAGACTCCCAGGCTGTGAAGGCCTCCGTTTACAAGTTCTCCTAGGGAATGATTGCCCTCGCCCCCTCCTTCCTCTCCCGGGCTTGAGGCTCGCTGCTCTGCTCATCCACACGGCTGGCGCAGGCAGAGTTGGACTTTTTCTGCTACTGTTTTCTGTCCTCCATGTGGCTCTGGATTTTTTGTTTTTTGTTTTTTTCCCACTACGTGATTGCCTGTCTTTGCTAAGTGGGTAGCACAGCCTTCTCCTAACCTGCAGGATCAGCGAGCAGATGCCTCACAGCCGTTTCTGGAGGATCTTACTAGGTCTTTGGTTGATGATGAGGATGAGGATGAGGATGAGGATGAGGATGAGGATGAGGATGAGGATGAGAATGATGATGATGAAATAAAGTAACTTACTTCTACTGAATGCTATAAGTTCAGCTCTGACATCTTGCTGGCTGGTTGTACTGACTGCATCTCTTATCTTCATGATGGTGGGTGCTGCACAGGAATGCAGGTGATTAGAAACAAAACACTGGCCAATAAAATTAATTTTTTAAAAAACACTGAAATCTGTCGATCTGGAGGTCTCCCATGTCATGTGGGAAGGCAAAGAAATGTCAGCTTAAGAGCTTTTTCCTCTTGTCCCTGAATTCAGTGCTTACTTCTCAGGTAGATATTTTAAAGAGAATTGTCCCCTCGGTGGAGTATTTGGTGTTAGTTTATCTTGTGCCTGTTCATACTGGGGCTTCATTTTGTCCCAACTAAGGCTAAATTTATGGCATTTGGTGTGACTGTGGGGTATGTAATCACTGACTTGGGGTAGATGTCCTAGACTTTTCTTAGTTCATATGTTTACCAGTTTACCAACTGAATCTGGGTAGTGTAAACAGGCTTGAGTTGCAAAATATGTGTAGCAGCTCATTGGAAGTTTTGCTGCCCCCATCTTTCTAGATCAATGCCTTTGACTTTTGGAAGCTTCTCTTCCCTGCTTTTCCACAAGGCAAATTTTAGGAGTTTAGTTGTGGGAGTATATCCAGGCACTATGTTAAACTGTGATCACTTTAATGAGAAGAATCTTGGCAGTGTCTTAAAAAGATGGGAAAAAACTTTGGTGATAACAGCAGTTTATGGGTCTGATATTACTCCAAGGAATATTGTTGACTGCTTTTTAATGTTGATTTTATGCTCTGAAATGTTTTATGGTGATAAGTTGGCCAGTTAAGAATTTTAAATTTTTTATTCTATTAAGTATTTTGTTTAAGATCCCTTGGGGAGCTGTGGAACTGTACCATGCAGTGGAAATAGATAGTAAAAACATTTACTGAACCTTGTCCAAGGACAGCTTCTGTTTTGGTTTTTGGTGAATTGCTCCTGAATATGCAAGTGCAAGCTCCACATGATCTGGAGCCTGGGCCACTGAGGACCTGAGAGTGATTGTCAGATAATCTCACAGAAGAAGGGGCTTCTCCCCTCATCCTTCTTCTCCTACTTTCTCTCAACATGTGCATTGTCAATTACATCTTGTTTGCTTTAATGAGATTTTGATAGCTTAACAGTTGAATGCTGAGATACTGAATGATGTGAGAATCAGAAGTACAGTCTGCTTTTAGGATATGGCCATCTCATTTTATTAAAATAGCATGTGTAGCACACTTCTCAAAAAGATAAATTTAGGACTGCAGTCACTGGTAAAGGGAAGGCCCTCACACATCATAAATTATCGAGGAGCAAGAATTGTATGGCAGTAAATATTTTGGAATGCAAAACAATTGCTTTGAATTGATAGTGTATAGATAAGTGTCTGGGGAGCTTTACATAAGGGGATTAGAAATTAAAGGTTGTATTTGTGAGAGGAGATTTGTGGAACTGGTGATAATATGGCAGAAGAATATAAGCTTATTTTCTAATTTTCTATTATGTGGTTTAAAAAACATAGACTGTAATGGTATATTAAATAAGGAAACAATAACCACAACACTTTCCTTGTGCTCAGCAGGAAATAGCTAACAAATTCATTTTCTGTTTTCCATTCTAAAGAAAGCCCTCTGGGCCATAGGGTCATTGAGAACATTTTCTCCTTGGAGCAGATTTGCCCATTGCAAAATAGGGAAATTGGCACTTGGAAACTGACATCCTGGCCGTTTATATTGAGCAACTGAAGTTGAATTGTTACTTTGTTTTGCCAGCTTCAGCTATGAGTGTGTCTGGGATTCAGAGGTTTGGTTCCTAAGGTCATCTAGAAAGCTGTGTTTAGGGGTGAGGGGCAAGACTTCGGCATAATGTAGCATATGCAGGGATATTTTGGGCTTAAAAGTTGACATATGGGGCCAGGGATTTAGTTCAGTGGTTCCGCCGCCTGCCTTGAAAGCACAAGGACCTGAGTTAGATCCCTGGTACCAAAAAAAAAAGTTGACATACGCCTCAGTAACATCAATGAAAGAGTCATATTGGACACCTTCTAAAGGTCCTCATGAGTAGCTAATTTCAACTGTGAAATGTTGACTTGAAGACTATACTCTCAGGTGGGAAATGGTAGAGAGCAGTGCTGCTGGAATAGCAATACCTGCCAGAGGGGTTTTTTTTTTTCTTTTGGTACCAGGGATTGAACTCGGGACCTTGCACTTGCCAGGCAGGCAGTGGAACCACTGAGCTAAATCCCCAGCCAGAGGGGCATTTCATAGATCTAACGTGTATCATTTATCCAGAAATACTACCTCTGGTGGTAAAGTTGAGTAAAATCTGTGCATTTCTAAGAGGATTGCATACATGAAGGTGTTTTCTTTGCCTCTGTGGAAAGGAGAAGAAAAAGAGTTAGAAAGGCCTCACAGGGATTAGCAACTCCATACCATGCTATGAAAACATCCTATTCTGCAAATAGTCCCACATTTTAAAAGATGGTTGCGTATATTTTGGTATAATTACACTCTATCTTGTTGCTTTCTTATATCCATGTTTTTAAAGCTGTTTCTCTTGTTGTTGTTGTTGTTGTTTTTTGTACCAGGGATCAAACTCGGGACCTTGTGCTTTCGAGGCAGGCAGCAGAACCATTGAGCTAAATCCCTGGCCCTCTCTGTTGAATAGACGCAATATATAGCATATATATATATATATATATATATATATATATATATATTCTTTTCTTCCTTTGGGCCTTGCTGATTTTCACTTTTCCAGTGTATAGTACACACTACTTTGTTGTTAAACATGGACAAGGTGCATGGAGTGTTTGCATTATTTAGGATAGTTTTAAATTAATTTGGCATCCAGAATCATATATTAGAGGAAGGTAGTTCACAAAATTCAGTATAGCAAAAGCAACTGCATATTTTTAAAATGCTGTTTATTTAAAGAATCTTTTCTTCCCCAGCCAGCTGGAAACCCAGCTGTGCTGCAGCTTGAAGATGGGAAAGTGAAACTAGATTAGAAACTGACCAGTCCTGGTAGTGAAGAGGTTTGGTTAGAGATTTGGGGTTGAATCTTCATCTTAATGTCATTATTTCTTAGAGTGGCTGCTTTTCTCTTCAGATTTCAATTTTTGGGGCAGAAACAATACCTTATTTTGGGGGGGGGGGGTTACCAGGAACTGAACTCGGGACCTTGCATTTTTGAGGCAGGCAGCAGAACCACTGAGCTAAATCCCTAGCCCATCAATATCTTGTCTTTGGGATCTTCTTTGTCCTGGCTCTCCTTCAGTCCTTGGGCCCCACTTCTTCCTGCTCAGTGTTCTGTACTGTGCCTGGTTTATTGAAGGACTCTTCCTAAGTGTCTTTTGAATGGATAAAGTCAAGTGAAGTTCAAAAAGAAAGCCTCTAGATTCATGACAAAACAATCTAAACTCTGATATGAGACACGAAGTACTGTGCTGAAAGGCTGAGTTTGATGATAGCCTTTACCTGTCGCTATGGGAACATTTTTTCCAAAGGAGTCCTTATCAACTAGAGTACTTAAGCCACAACATGCTTAATCATTGCGCTGATTAGTGTTAATGGGATTTGAGCAGTGGAGAATAAAGGTTTTTGTTGGAGAAGATCCACTTTTTTGTAGGGTGGGAGGCAACAGATTACCACCATCCCACCTCCAAATTTAAATAAAAATGAAAAAAATATTAGTTTGAATTAACAAACAAATTGGGATCTAGAGAGGATGGTATGTTAATAGTCCAGGTGAGTAACTTCCTCTTGGCTTCCAATCAAAGCCAATGTGCTTCCTCTTTACCATCCTCTGTTATTTAGGACATTTACACCTTACTTCCTAATAACAGTTATTTTAAAAAATAAAATTGCGTTTCTATTTTTGGATATATAACACATTTACATGGCTCAAAATCCAGAAGGCACATAGGAATATGGTGAAGTGTCCCTCTTACCCCGTCCTCAGAACCTAGCTCTAAGGCAATTGTAAAATAACTCATCCTTGAAATGTGTATTTCTCTAAAAAACAAAATGTTTTTCAAAGTAGTCTATTTTTCTTAACAGATGAAGAATGTTAATTTTGCCATTCAGCCAATTTTATGGTAAAACTTTCCCAGGTAATAGATATTGTTTTTAATCTGTAGCCCATGGTCTTGACTATCTAGT